CGAAATCCGACCTGGCGCATAAGCCGGACGATCTTGCGAAGTGGAAGAGCCGCATCGAGGATATGAAGACGGCCACTCAGCAGCGCACCGCCACGAAGCGCAAGGCGGCAGCTGCAGCCCCAGTCCCAGGCCTCGCCGAAGCGGCGGTGCCTGTGCCCGTGGACGAGGCGGTAATGCGTGAGGAGATGGCCAAGCTGAGGCGGGCGGCGGCGCAGCAGGAGCCGCCGAGCGCGGCGGCGGGCGCAGGCGCGGCGCCACGTGCGGGCGCGGCGGCAGCGGCAGCAGGCGGCATTAACGACGTCGAGCAGGAGATGGAGCGCCTCAAGCAGGCGCAGGAGGCAGGAGCCGCCGCTGGGATGGCAGCCGCGCCGCTGGGGCCAGCCGCCTCCAGGCGCCGTGCGCGCCTTTCCTCGCGATGCGTCCGCAGCCTCCAGTGAAGTCGAGGTCTCGTCTTTCGTCATCTTTTTTCGCAGTATCACGTGCGCTTGGGTACTAAGTCTTGGAACTTCGTCGGCGACAGCAAGTTTAGGTCTCAGTGCGATCTGGTGGGCATGGCTGAGACTCGCGCGGGAGCTCACTCGAGAACGCACTGGGCGCGGAAGTCTCGGGACACGAACTGGAAGTACTTGGGCAATGCTGCTCGTGCCACAGGGGAAGGGACGTCGTCGCAGGGGGTCGCCGAGGCCTGCGAAGGAGGGGGGCTCCTTCTCGCGCCAGTGTCCACAGGCTTCGCGGCACAATTTCTGAGGCTGCAGGTTTCTGCGCTGGCGGTCCGACGTCTTCCGGCGGATTCGTTCTATCGGTAGTTCATATGCAGGGGTCTAGTTCCGAGCTAGTGCTATTCTATGCTCATCCTTCTGTCGGCATCCTAGGAGCCAACTCGCAACGCTTCGCTCGCTTAGGAGCCCTTCTCCAGTCTGTGCAGCTTCTCTGGGTAGTGCTTGGGGACTGCAGCATTCCTGTATCGCAGTTTCGTCGCTCGGTCTTTCTGGAAACACGTTGGGGGCTGTGTGCTCCAGGCAGATATACACTGCACCTGCGTCGGGGGTGCTGGTGGTTTGCATATAGATTTTGCATTGGCTTCACAGAGAAGCCTTTCTTACATCCACAGCATCAGGGCGCGAACTGATGTCCCGTGGAGCCCTCGCTGTGCCCTTGAGCTCCGCGTGCGTGGATCTGGGGTGCAGCTTCTTACTCGTTCCCTCCTCTCCGCCCCTCGCCTGCCGCGGGCCCCGGGGTCGACGGTCGGCCCTGCCCTTGGATCGAAGTCCAGCAGTGCGGGGGGGGTGGGGGGGTGGCACAGCAGGGGCGCATAGCTTTGGCGAAGGAGCGCAGCTGGACGGAATGCGACGAGTTTTTGTCTTGATCTTGTCCCTCGCAAAAAATTCTGCTGACCCAGGGCCAGAGGTCTCCGAGGTGCAGTCGCCCCCGGGGGGCCGAAACTCCCGAGCCCCAGGGGCCTGGCGACGCGCCCGAAGTCGGCGCGCTTTCGTGCGATTGGGAGTTTGGGGTAGGGGTCGTCTTTGAGGACGAGGAGGGGGGCCCCTGGGCGTCGGAGACGTGTTTTCGGCCAGCCTTCATGCTGCCCAGCGCCTCTTCAGCAGAGATCGTTTCACGCGAGTATCAGCGACCTTCCTTAGCGGAGGGTAGCGCTAGCGAGTGGTCGGGGGCTGCGCAGCCCACCGCCGCCGAGCGCTCATGGGGGCTCGGGGGGCAGCGCGGAAGCTGGAAACAACGATGCCTACTGCTGCTTTGCTCCTGCCTGCGCTTCGCTCCCTGATTTCCCCACCCCTTCGCGCTCGTTGCTAAACGCCTCGGTTCAAACATTTTGGCATTCGCATTATACCGGGAAATGTTGGACACCCGTCCTTCATTCGTTAGCATGCAGGGCTGGCGGCCCGCATGCATTGGCAGTCAGCAGCGGTTTCGCGCGGTGGGCTGGCACCGCTGAGAGAGTGATCTCGGGGCGCCATTGTATCGCTCCGCCCCGCAGGTCGAGAGGGGCGGGAGTTGATTTGGCGGTCGTCGCGGCGAGGTAGGCGCTGCATGCGCGTGAGCAGCCGCCGCGGAACTCCGCCGCGGCCTGGTGGAGTCGGGCCCGCACCGTGGGCAAGCGGGCCGTTCGCCACAGGCGCCGTGGCAACGGGGTCCAGCAGCTGCGCGGGCTGGCGGAGGCTGCGCGGGCGCTGGCCGACGGACTGCCGACGGATGCCAGGCCGCCCTCGCTGGGGGCCCCGAGAGCAGTTGGCAGGAGCTGATGGCGGGGCTTCGGGCGATGCCAGCCCAGTCGCTGGCGAAGCTTGAGGCCGTCGAGGAGGCTGCCTTTCGCTCACCGCGGCGCGCGCAGAAAAAGGCGGCAGCGTCTTCTCTGCGTGGCTTCCAGGATTGGATCTCGCAGCCGACGTCTGCGGGGCAGGTGCATTGCTCCATCGAGGATCCCGAGCCCGGGCAGGGCGAACGGCGCGAGGGCGGGTCCAGCCTGGTGCACCCTGTCGACATCATCGACGCCAAGGTGACCCGCGGGCGCCGCCTTTGGCGCGAGGACAGCCCCAGCGAGGAGGGCATCCTGCGCGCCGGCGAGCTCATCCGAGAGCGCGCCGAGGTCGAGCAGCTCGAGCCGCTCAAGGTGCCGGCAGGTCAGGGCGGCGCCCAGCAAGATGAAACCGCGCGCGGGCCAGGGGGTCGACTGCTTGTCATCAGTGGTTTTCGCGCGCCTCCCCGACGAGGGCATCCATGAGCCGTGCGACCTCTTTCAGCTGAAAGAGGAGGGCCTCGCCTGGCCGTGGCAGGTGACGCGCGCCCTGGGGCGGCTCCTCGGCAGGAAGTCGGGGGTGCCATAGGTTCGTCGGCATCCTGCCGATGCCGCGCCGCGTGTGGTCGCTCGCGCAGGAGGAGGATGCCTTCTTGCGGCTGGGTCACCGACCAGGGCGATTTCTGGGGCGCCGCAGTTGCTGGGAACAGCGCCCTCGACGAAGCCTTCCCGAGGGCGCTTGAGGACGGGGTGCGCTCGACGCTATCTTTACCGCGCGGGCAGGGCCCTCTCGTCGTGGAGGCTTTGTACGATGGCATTCGCGCACCAGCCCCGGCGACCTGCGCCCTCAAGAAAGGATTCCCTCCATCCGTTCTGTCTCTGGGTATGCAGATGTTTTTAGCTCCTCGCAGGTTATCGCAGCTGGGATCATATTCATTGCCTTTCCACACGTATAAGTCCAGAATTCAAGATTCGCGGGGCGGCACACGTTTCGCCAAGTGTCTTAACCGCCTTCGTGTGTCAGAAGCTCATGCTTGCGCGCCCGTTGATGGTGCCTCGGATTTGGGTCGACGATCTTTCGGAGAAGGTATCTGGATCTAGGAGTCGCGTTCGCGCGACGCTGGTTGAGGCTGTATCTACCACGGCTCGCGAGTTTCAGCAGCTTCACCTCGGCATCGCGCCCGGGAGTGTCGTCGCGCGCGCCCGCCGCGCGGATGCGCGGCATGTTGCGAGGGCGCTGCGGGCTCGAGGCATCGCGGTGAAGGCGATTCTGCAGGCGCCTGACCTAGGCGTCGACGTGGGCTCAGGCCGCAGGCTGGCGCGCGTTGCGGCGCGCAAGCGGGTCGTCAAGGCGGGGCGCTCGCATCGGCGCCTGCGCAGATTTGCGCGCGCGGCCCGCCGCTGGAAAGTCATTGGACAGACCCGGCGCGCAGGGCCGCAGGTGGCAGCGACGTGCGGGCACCAGGTGCACGGCTGATTCGGGTCCGTCATGCTGTCGCATCGGCGGCGGCTGGGCGCCGCAGCTGGCGGCGGCCGCCGAGGCCGCTGCCGGGCGACGCTCCTGGCGCCGCGGCTGCCTGTGGCGGACCCGGGACTGGCGCTACCTAGGGCGTGCCTTTCGCAGCGGTTCGCGACCTGGCTGGCCGAGCCAGGGTTGCGGAAGGCAGTGGCGCTGGCATGGCCCAGGTTGGTCAAGGCCTTGCAGAGCCTTCCCTAAGCCCAGCGAGCTAGACACGTTCGCTGCCCCATGTCCTCTGTCATCCTGTATTAACTGCAAGCTGGATGGGCCCCTCTATCAGCCACGGCGTGGCAGGTGCCGAGTGACGGGTCGGCGGACACTCGCGCGTGGGCATTCCATGAAAAGTCCTTCGCCGGCCTGGATCAGGCGCAGTCGCTCCTGGACGAGATGGAGGCCACCGTGTCAGCGCAGCAGCAGAGACAGGCTGCTCGAGAGTTCTGCGGGAGTGGCCTCGAATTAGGCGCGGACCTGCACAGTCTTCGTCATTGTACCCAGTCTCTCCTGGACGTACGGAAGGGTCGTCAGTTGCCAGAGCTCATGGTATCCATCGCCACGGGAGGATTCTGGACTCAACAGAGTAAGTTCGAGGCGCGATTGACCGACAGCAACATGTGTGTTGCGATGTGGCGAGGGCGTCGACGCGCCGATCCATCGTTGTTGGCTGTTCCCGGATAGTCGTGAGTCCCCCGCTTTTTCGCAGTCGGACGAGCTTGTTCCCGAGGCCGTAGCGGAGCAGGGCACGTTTCCAGCATTTTGGATCAGAGGCACTATTCTTGCTCAGTGGACCTCTGTACAGCCCCCTGTAGCATCTGAGGTCCTGTATGGGAACTCGCTTGTAGGTGATGCGGTAGGCGTTGAATGTTTTGGGCGAGATACCCCCGAGAGCCTTATAGTTTCGGGGGCGCTTCGGGAGGAAAAGGCACCCGCGACAGTCGTCTCAGGCGCGTAGGGATTCAGAGCCCCAGAACAGGAGTACCGCGTACAACAAAATCTTGGTCCTCTAGCCTCGACGCTCGATCCTCGAATTCCCTCCCCAGGGATAAAATGTTTTGTGCATTATTTTTCCGCATGGGGTCCCTGAAGGTTTAATCTTTTCCCCAGGGCCAGGTTTTCATACTGAGCCGTTTTTTGATTGTCCTGGGGCCCAGTGAGGGCTCCCAGATGCCAAAAACGCCGACCAAATTTTGACTTTGTAGTTACGGTGGGAGGTCTGGCCCGATTCCTAAACAGGAGGAGGACGAGGGGAACGAGCCGGAGGAGGGCAACGAGCCCGTCGGTGTCGCCCACAAGCCCTCCATCACACCGCCATCGACCGAGGTTGGCCTGCTGCTGCTGCGTCATTTGTTTCGTCATCGTCGTCGTCGTCGTCGTCCCTCTCCCGTTCCATCCTGCCGCTCCTCGACTTCCTCCACTTCTCCTACCCGTCCTCCTCCGTAGCCATCTTTGGCTCTAGGCGCGGCCAGGCGGTTGAGCTGTTTCCCTTTCCTCTCAGTGTGGCATCTCCTGTGCACGAGATCTGCTCCTTTTCGAGCTGCATGACCGGCTGCTTCGCGTCCTCGCGCCGCTGCGGCAGGAGCTCCCCGAGGGCATCGGCCAGATCGCTCGCGTTCTCTGGTCGAGCGGCACGGCGTCTCGCCTCCTGCATGTGGTCGCCGCGTACCACGTGGCCAAGCACATGCGCGCAGAAAACCCGCTTCACAAGCAGCTCTGTCAGTGATGATGGAGGTTGCGGCCAGCCTGGATCGGAACATGCACGCGCAGAAAGCCAACTCTCTACCTTCAGCTCGGTGATGACGGAGGTTGTTCGGCCAGCCTGGATCGGCCCCGGGGCTCGCTGCCGCCAGAGGCGGAGGACTTCACCGATGTCCCCACTTACTGCTCGGCTCATGGTTCTGCTAGCTGGCATGCTAGCAGCCATGGCCGCCACAGCCTGGTGGAGAGGACAATGACGCAACCGTAAGAGACCACATCAGCCAGCTCACCGCAGGAAGCTCCAACATCCAGGCGAGGGCTTGCACTTGCTGCCGCGAGGAGAAGGAGTGCCAGATCGATATGAAGATACGCCACTTCGAGGCTGCTGCTGACATGCATTGTAGCGAACACACACACACACACACACACGCACACGCACACGCACACGCACACGCACACGCACACGCACACGCACACGCACACACACACACTCAACGACGAGGACGCCCACGACTATGAGACCGACTCCTTCCCTTGCCTGGCCGACCACGGTAAGGTGCACCAGTCTTACGCGGAGGCCGACGCACCCCATCATGAGCTTGATGATGTTCATCTTGCGGACCATCGTGCTGCCGACTGCGTTCGTCAGAAGGGGCGCGAGTCTTTCGCTGAAGCCCGGGCGGTCCCCGACGTGGAGGCCGACGAGGTGCGCGAGTCTGACGCGGAGGTCAACGCGCTGCGCAGGTCTCACGCGGAGGCCGACCACGAAACCGATTTCTCCCCCTGCCTGGACTCGGGCCCAGGGGGTGGACCGACCCTCCAGGGCCGAATGAGCGTGTTGTGCAATCTCCTGGATGAGCCCGTCGTCTCGCGCGTGTGCCACGAGGAGGCCGTCTTGCAGGCGACCGCTGTGCCCAACCGCATGCCCACATGTGTTCGCTTTTTGCTTTCTCTGTCGGGTCCTCTCCGGCGCGCCAAGGGCAGGAGTGGTGCGCAGATGCTTGAAGTGCAGTTGCGTGTTCGGTGGCTCATTTTTTTGTGGTACTGGCTATTCCTGGATAGCTTCTTGAAGAGGTATGGATTTTAGAGAGATGCTGGCAGACAAGGCTAGTCCAGTTTCTTTTTTTTTCCGCGGCGGCCGGGCAGGCATCCCACAGCGAGATGCTGGAACTTGCAGCGTGTCCTGGAAGCGTGTTGCTCCTCGTTCCCAACACGTGCGCCGCAACGCTTTGCAAAGATCCTAGGCAGCGTTTTCTAGGCTCGTGCTGCGCTTCTAGGCAGCGCTTGGTTCCTAGGCTCGCGGGCAGCGCCTGGGCATTTCCGCAGCTGGCTTGGGCGCCTGTGCAGCGCTTCGAAGCATCCCTCTGACGCTCCACATGTGTGCGTCAAGCCGCCATTTCGGGCGCTCGCAAGCGAGCTGCTGCTGGGCTTTGAGAGCGCCGTGCACGCCGCACACGCGCGTGAAGCGCGCTTGCAGAACTTTAGCGGCCGCGCCAAATTCGGAGAAATGGCCCAGCTTACCGGGACACATGATACAACCCATGCCTCATGCAGCCCCGGCGCCCTCCCGGTCGACAGCGGCAAGGGGCACCTGGAGCGCCATGGCCAACGGCCCTGCATCCCTCGGCGCGAGGGCTTGAGGCAGCAGCCAGGAGCAGTGCAGCCGGGAGCGGGGTGGGCCCTTCGAATGCGAACGCGCGTGATGGCGACGACCAGGCAACCAGCGCCAGCTACAGCTCTCGGCTCCTCGCTCCAGCCTTGCCGACAGGGGCGGCCTGATGGTCGAGTCAGCGTGCCTGCGGCCGCGAGGGTGCTTCGGCTCGAGCGGCATAGCGCGTGACACCAAGTTTTGGGGCATCTCCCTGTCACGCTTTTGCTCGCGTGCCAGGGGGCAGGCAAGGCCGTCACGGACGTTTTTCCGCCCGCGGTGGTTCACTCAGCCTCTCGCTCGAGAGTTCCCTCACGAGTAGGTCTGCTGTTCCTGCTGGCGTGTGCTTTTGTAGGCGAAAGGCCCGTCAGCGCGGGTCCTCGGGCCAAAATCGTTGCACAAGCTTTACTCCGCTTCAGTCTCCTTCTTCTTCTTCTTATTATTCTTGCTCTTCTTGCTCCTCCTCCTCCTCCTCCTCCTCCTTGGGAATTGCTCAATCCTCCCTCTCCTCCATCTGTTCCTTTTCTTGCGCCGGCTGCTGGGCGCACCGCCCGTGGCGTAAGTGGCCCGCGGCGCGCCGCGGGAAAACAAGACAGGCGCCTTGCCCAACCGCCAAAAAGCCTTTGACATCCAGGCGGGCGGCGGGCATGGCGAGAAACACGACCAGTGTTGAGCTCGACCTCATTTCTCCAAGGCCAGACGCACGGGACCTGGTAGGGCATAAAAGGGGACCTCGGGGGCCAGGCGAGAGAATCGGGCCGAGCTCTAAGGGCGGCTTTACCGTGATGAGGAAGCAGCCCTGCAAGGACAGGCGGCCAGCATGGCCGAGCTGCCAGGCGAGGTGGAGGAGGACTACTGAAGACGTACTCGGATGAACGATGATGGAGGAAGCCAGGAGGGTGAGGCTGGTGTGGGGCGGGCGGCTGGGGGAGCATCACGCCACTCCCGTTCGCTCCCTAGCCGCCGCGCCTCTGCACGGCCGAGAGACAGCAAGAGCAGCGCGGTGATGGTAGAGACAAGACAAGGAGAACAACAACATGATGAACTAGGACGGAACAAGAGACACAAGCTGGCAAGCCCCGTACCCCCTTCGCGGGGGGTCCCCTCGTGTGGCACCGACGCAGGACTTGGTACCACAAGGACCGTTGAGGCGATCTCGGGCACCCCTCGTGGATCGCCTCGTTTGACCGCCACACGGGTCGCACCCCATGGGCGGTCGGCAAGCCAGGGAAAGAGCCAAAACAAGAAGAGACAGAGCATTCAGGACACAATCCTCCCCCGCCCCGATGCACCCGTCCAATAGTAGGAAGCCGCAGGAGACTCCGTGCGACTGCCCACTCCCAGGGACTCTCGTGGAGCGGTGCAGCGGGGTGGGGGGACCAAAGAAGGGCGGACGGTCAAGCACAATCAACGGAATATTATAAGCAAGTGAAATCAGACAAACCTCACCTGGGCAAACTTGGGATATGTTGACCATCCACCACTGAGGGAGAGAGAGATAGAGAGAGAGAGAGAGGGAGAGAGAGAGAGAGAGAGACATGCTGCCAATGCTGGCCGTCCTGTCACAGCACTTGCGTGTAACAGCCTATCCGATGGGCAGCTGCTCGGGCGAGGAGGGAGGGGAAGAGTGCTGGTGGTGATAGATGCTGGGAAAGAGGGCGGATCAAGGGGAGCACGCTCAGCTGGGCAGGGCAGAAGGCAGGGAGGCTCTAGCTTGTGCCTCCGGCCCCCAGCGCCGTGCCTATGCTGGTCTCCCCCGCCGCCTCCCATAGCTGCCCCCGCCCCACCTCCTGCCAGAACACCTGTGGAGTCAGGTGCTCTGCGTGCCTGCTCCGAGAAGAAGCGCTCCCGCAGGCACGCGGGTCATGGCCAGTGGCCGCTGCACAGCCGAGCCAGCTGTGCCGACTCCTAGGTTGTCGGACACCGTGCCGCCCGTCCTCGGCACGATAACTGACCTCGCCGTCGAGCATAGGATGCCACTCCACCAAAGAAAGTGCAACAGCGCGCCCATCACACGCAGTAGACAGTACACGCCAACCTAGTCTCGAGTATGATGCAATTCTGCCCAGACAGGTCTTGAATTGTCCGACTGCATCCGTTCGACATTGTGAAATACAATATTCTCCCAAAAGACCAGCCATCTCAAACACTTTCCAGTCTATCATCAACACTACATTTTCAAACTGCGCTCGAGAGCGTTTCTCATCAGAAAGTCTTGGGAGGCCCAACGGATAGTTAGCATCACGTAGCCAACCACCTGGCACGTCTCCAAATCCATGAAAGCAATCGGGAAGCCAAGTTTGGGACGTCAAGCTCCAAGAATACACCAAGGATCGGTTGATCCGGTCGTACACTTTCTCATGTGCCAAAAAACCTTTCAACTGCTTCACGCGGGCCCATCCTAATCAGTGATACATCCTTGCCGAAAAGCGCATTGATCTAACTACCCAGATCTCCAACATAGGCCTCGGCAGCTTCCAAATGATAGAACGTTGGGTGAGAAACAAGTCCGCCATAGCGACGAAGCAAAGGAGGTACATGGGGGATGGGCCAACATAGGTAATCCTGGTAGTTCCAGAGGCTCAAAAGCTGGCCCCACGATTCCCCCAATGAACGTCAAAACGTACTTGCCTCAAAACCTGACGATCGTTGTAGCCTGATCGGGCAAGTCGCCGTTCTCGCCGGAAGTCATCCTGTCGAATTGCTTCAGCCTCCTCATGGTCAAGAGGAGTATCGTTCTCTGCCAGCCAATTGATGTAATGGTTCGCTGACCTTCGCAAGTGTCTGATCAAAGTAGACCCGTCACCGAACATCGTGCCGCATGCTCCGCACTACGTGCCCCGAGCCATCAGCTGAGTCGTGCCGATCGGGTTCTGCATTGTCACGTGGTGCCTGCAGCCTCCCTTCGTGCTGAAGTTGGCGCCACGCTCGTAGCAAATTTAGCGGAGCTCTTCAGAGACCTCAGCTTCATAGGACTCCTTCCAACCTGTGGTTTCCCACGCCGTTTGCTGCATTCTGCTGCAACTCCGTCTCGTACTATCGGGTCCACGCCAACTGAATCTCCTTGCGCAGCTTCGTCCTATTCACCCTAGCGAACTCGAGCCACCGCCTCAGTGTCCAGTCTCTTCTCAGGGAAGAGTCCTCATCGTAGCTGGCAAGCCATCTGACGTCCTCCACCATCAGGCTGCTCCAAGAACCTTGAGCAGCAACTTGGTCGCACAACTCGTCCGTTTCTCCGCTGCTTTCGCTGCTTGGATTGACTTGGCCATACTTGCTTCACTGGGTTTCTGCAAGGCCATCTCCGACTGTCGAGCCATCATCATCCATTCGGAATCGTAATGAACTTCCAACCTCTGCTTCTCGTGCTCTAGCTGCCACTCCATGTAGGTGTGGGCTTTCGCCGACTCCTGTAGTTCTTTCTGCTCTGAATCTGCCCATCGGGCTTGCGAGTTCTTCATTGCTGACACCTGCTCTGCCAAGCCTTTTCTGCTGCTTCCTGAGATACTCTGCCTTCTGCTCCAGCTCGTACCTGATCTTCCTAGTGTTGAAGTCCTCCTCGTTCCTTTTCTTCTTCGTCATGTGCTCTTCGAAACATGCGACCTTCCTCTCGACCTCCTCCATCGCGTGCTGCTTGGCGTTCTCGCAGTGCTCGTAAGCGTGCAGTTCGACTGTGTGTACCTGCAGCTCACCTTGCTGGACGTGAGGTGCAGCAGCTTCCTGGGCCTCTGGAGCTTCCCTGAGAGCCCGCACCTAGGTTTTCTCTCCTTTCTCGATCTTCGCCATATGCCGAGCCCAGGCTTCTTTCAATTGTTTCATTTTCTCGTCCATCGCGGTCTTGGCCTTTACATGCGCTGCCTGGGTCGCTTGCTGCACTGCTGCCGCCATCGGTGTTACCAGGGACTCTCCAGCACCACTTTCTCCGTGCTGGCGTCGGACCACCGTGAACGGTTGCAAGTTGACTTTGCTGGATGTCTCTCCTGCAGACGACGCCGATGCCCGCGGTGTTGGAGCTGGTCTGCCAGAGCTCACAACCTGCACAACCGCTGGAGCCGTACTCGGGGTGGATGGATTCTTAAGCGTACCTCGATACCGATCTGTAGTAGCTTCAGCCGAACGCCTCGCTGTGTGCCTGCCCACATGGTCGAATATGTCTGCCATCAGCAGCCAGTTCACCTCCATGATTTTGGCCTCTAGGACTACGCGTAGGAGTAGCTGGTGCCCGTGATGCGTCTCTGGTCCATCGTACTTGAGCTGGCTTGGGTGGCGGCGGTGGTGGTGGTGGTGGAGGTGGCGGCTCTGCCGCAGAACAAGAGCCAGCCCCTTCATCATCTGCCTCTGAGCCTATCTGAACGGCAAGAAGTGCTTTCCTGCGATTAGCCGATCCTGATGAAGGCTCCGAGGCAACTCTTCCAGCGGCGGCCTCTGTCAACATATCCTCATACAAAGTAACCTTCGATCTTTCGTATTATCTGGTCCGCTTCTCCCTGGTGCGATTGAGGCTGTCCAACGCCCCACGCCTCTGAATATTGCTCGGCTTCGTGAACCAGCACATAGTCTTGAACACAGCCAGCTCGTGTTCCTGTTTCTGCAACCTCGTGCCACTGGCTTGACCTCCAGGAGAACTTTGGCTGTAGCTCTCATCTTTCCTCTATCATCGTTTTGTGAGCCTTCAGGGCGTTCGGCTGTTCAGGGGTAGCAACGTACAGGGCATACTTCATAAGAAACTCTGTTGTGCACCTCTTGTTTATCGTGTGCTTGATCTCTGTGTCCATATGAGCTTGCTTTTTACGCTGCCTTCGAGCCTCTGCAAACTGCTGATGCTGCCTCTTCTGAGTCTGGCGGCAATGTGATCCACGGCAGGCCCAGTCCTTCTCTGAGTCCTTGGTGCCGCAATGGTTGCACGTCCGCTCAGACACACCTGATGAATGATGTGATGCCAGAAGACCTCTCGCTTTCTTCAACACCTGCAGCAGCATCCTGGCCCGACCTCGAAGTCGTCGGCCACGCCGATGCCACGCAGGCTCTCTCCGCCTGGGCGCGGAGCCAGCACGGCAGCGCCCGGGCGCCAAGGGGCAGTCTGCTCCCGCCGCGGGCCGCCGCCTCCAGGGGCCGCCGCCGCTGCGGGGGACGTGGTGGGGCCCTCCCCCCCGCGCGGCCCCTGTTGCGGCGCCTCGCTGCCGCCGCCCGCCGTGGTCTGCGCGGGCCCCACCCCGAGCGGGCAACGGCTCCACCTGTTCCTCCGCTTCCTCTCGACCCCCCTCTTTCTGCCCATCCTGCTGCTGCTGCTGCTGCTCCTGCTCCGCCCCTGCGCCTGCCCCCCTCCCCCCCTCCCCCCATTGCAGTGCTTGGTCGTGGCCGTCGCCGTGGTGGTGGTGGCGCCCGTTGTCCACGCAAACTCCTTCCACATGGGTCCCCCGACCCCTCCGGAGGTCCATCCAGATGTCGCCGCGCCGTTTGTTCCGACGTGCGGCCATGCGTCTTGGGGAGGGCGCCTCGGACACCACGGCAAACTCCGCCGCGGGCGCCGAGGGCTTGCCGTGGGTTTGTCACGGTGCCAGCGCCGTCTCCTTGGGCGCGGGACGCAGGGTTTGCCGTGTCGGGCGGGGCTGGGACGTGGATGAACCCGTTCCGTTCCAGAGCGTTCCGGAACGCTCTGAGAAGGCAGCGGCGCCCGAGGCACCCTCCAGAGCCGCCGGACCTCAGAGATTCCCGATTTATCCTCATCCGAGTTTATCCTCGTCTTGGCCCCGTCTTCTTGCCACGGTGCCGGCATCGTCTCCTTGGGCGCGGGGCGCAGGGCTTGCCGTGGATTCGCCGTGGCGTCGGCGTCGTCCACTTTGTGTGGCGCGTCGAGAGCCAGCGGCGCGGCGAGCAATCAGCTTCTCAGGCGCACCGCCGTGGCGACAAACCCCTTCTTAGAACTGTTCAGAGTTTCCAAGCATGTCAGGAGGGAAAGAAACACACAATTAATCGTCGACTCGCAGGAAATTATGCAAAAATATGGAAAGTGGGAGACAAACACCAAACAAATATGGGACAATATGGGGAATCTTTTTATTTGTGTGTGTCCTGGGGCCCCTTCAGCATGCGCGAGGCGAGGACTCCCCCCTCCCTCCCCCCACACACGGGCGTGGACGCCAGTCACCCCAGCTCAAGCGCGGACGCCCCCCCCCCAGAGTGTGGACGTCACCCCCACACGAGCGTGGACGTCACCCCGACACGAGCGTGGAGGAGGAGGAGGAGGAGGAGGAGGAGGAGGAGGAGGAGGTGGAGGAGGAGGGGAGGGAGGGGAAGGAGGGGAAGGAGGAGGAGGACACCCCTACCAGCGTGGACATCACCCCCACATCAGCGCGGACAACAACGACGACGACGCCCAAAGGCTCTGGCGTCCCCAAATTCAGCAGAGGCCCAACAGAGGCTGGGTCTTCGACCTTCGATCGGTCGGCGACGGCGACGGCGACGGCCGCGACGACGGCGGCGACCTCCGCAGAGGTCTCTGGAAGCCTCTGGAGGGAGCTGTAGCGGGCGTCCAAAACCTGTACTTGACGTTCGGCCGGCGGCGACAACGGCGGCGGCGGCGACGGCTGCGAAGTCGGCGGCGTCGATGTTGTCGTCGCAGGGCGTGGGCGAGGCCGCCGACGCCAGGGCCTCGTCGGGCGGTGGCCCAGAGGACGCCCGCGGGGGCGGGCGCAGGGGGCGGAGGGAGGGAGGGAGGGAGAAGGAGGGGGGGAGGGAGGTAGGGAGGGAGAAGGAGGAGCAGGAAGAGGAGGAGGAGGAGGAGGAGGAGGAGGAGGAGGAGGAGGAGGAGGAGGAGGAGGAGGAGGAGGAGGAGGAGGAGTAGAAGGAGGAGGAGGAGGAGCAGGAGGAGGAGGAGGGATGTAGGGAGGAGCAGGAGAAGGAGAGTCGTAGGGAGGTAGGGGTAGGGGGAGGGGGAGCGCGCTGACTCTTCGACAGCCCTGAGACTATTTTTGGGGCGTCTTGGGGTCCTCCTGGGCTGCCTTGGGCTTTTGAAGCCCTGCTCGGAGCCTCCTGGGCCCGTCTGCGAGACCCCATGGCCTTCCTGGCCGTGGGCAGGCCTCCTTGTGGGAGTCCTGGGGCAGCCCAGAGCGGCCAGGAGTTGGAGGGGCCCCGCTTCTGGGGGGCTTCTCTGTACGCCGGGGGGCCCTGTACAGCCTGGGCGCTGAAGAAGGAACCCTTTTCGTTGGGGAGGGGCTCCGTGTTCCTAAGTTGTTTCGCAGTTTGCCTCAGGATTTCCCCAGGTTTTCTATGGGAGATCGAAGTTCAACTGATGGAAAATGGGGCCTCGTTTGTTATTTCCTGTTCCTTAGGTCAACGCCCCAACTGTAGCACCCCGTCTAGACAGTGAGAAGGAGACATGGCTGTAGAGACACGTGACAACACAACGCATAAGACAATTCAATGCCAACATGATATCGGTGCAGCAAACACCTTCACAGCCCGGCGCCCCCAGAGAGGGCCTGGCGCATCCCGTCAATTCTGTGTCATTGTGTCGTGCGAGGAAGTATGCTGCAACTCTTGTGGGCCGCCTGGACGACACGTGTGGTGGTACGCGGAGGATGAGTTATTTGTCATAGGGAGGAGGATGAGGAGGAGGAGGAGGATCAGGATGATGATGATGATGATGATGATGATGATGATGATGATGATGATGATGATGATGATGATGATGATGATGATGATGATGATGATGATGATGATGATGATGATGATGATGATGATGATGATGAGATGATGATGATGATGATGATGATGATGATGATGATGATGATGATGATGATGATGATGATGATGATGATGAGGAGGAGGAGGAGGAGGAGGAGGAGGAGGAGGAAGATGATGATGACGATGATGACGATGATGATGCTGATGATGGTGGTGGTGATGATGATGCTGATAATGCTGATGATAATGATGACGACGACGATGATGATGAAGGAGGAGGAGGAAGAAGAGGAGGACGATGAGGGAGGAGGACGGGGGACGGGGAGGAGCAGGAGGAGGAGGAGGAAGAGGAGGATGATGAGGAGGAGGAGGAGAAAAAGGACGATGAGGAGGAGAACGAGGAGGAGGAGGAGAACGAGGAGGTGGGACGAGAGGAGAAGGTGGATGGGGACGAGCAAGATGGATCAGGAGTGGGAGATGAAATTCGGGACCCCCGACCTCATCCTGACTCGTGACTCCTCGAGACGCACATCTTCTATCCTACGTCCTATCTCGCAGCCATTCGCTCATACTTCCAGTGGAGTTGGGCCATGGGAGCGCCTAAGGCGTAGTATATGGCTTGGCTCACCACCACGCCTTGGATTTGTTATCGAAGCTGGCCGCGTTCTCGTGCGGCTGGCTCTGACTCGAATACGGGTTTCCACGGCACATAATGGTGGACGACTTCTACCGTGGTACCCACAAGCTCGCGCCAGTTTACCTTAGGGATCAAAGCCAGGAGACTGGCATACACGCGCCATCACCACACCAACCGACGGTCACGTCGGCTACCATGTGTATGCGCGGCCCTAGGCCAGTACACCCGTACCCACCATCACGCAATTGGCAACACGCTAACCTATTCCACTCCATTCTGTGGAAGCACACCACAGCGCTGCCAGGCGCTTCGCAACAACATGACCGCTTCACCCACTTGGTGGCTGCCGGCCACGTCCGCCCCTGACTGCAAGAACCACGACCCCACCGACACAGATTTACCATGCACTACGTCAATATCAATATCTTTGGAATCATGTGGGTATGTCTTGGTGTAGCTGTAGGATGCATGGAACGAGGAATGGGCGACACTCGTGCGAGGGGACCCCACACGGATCCCTTCCGCGAATTCGTTCGCGAAATCAGATGGTGGTTCAAACGGAACTAAATGTACACTTACGCCACCACAACATGCCGTTGAAATGCAGCGCGGCCTGGTAGGCCTAGCCAGGGCACTGGCAATCAGGGTGCCGTCCCCGACTATAGATAACGGCGTAAACATCCAGTGCCAGCGTACAAGCGCAGCAACATACATCATCTTTTCCTCATCACGAAATTTGAAAACCTTGTGGATAAGCGCTAGTTGACCCCAGGCACTGCCCTCATCGACTTCAGGGACGACCGGCATGAGTGCGTGGATTCGGTATTCGCCCGATTCGACATGGCCAGACTGGAAGCATATTCGGCTGGATTCAACATCCCGAATTCTTGATCTTGGAGTTCTGGTTGTTCCGAGCTCTAGGAGTGGGTACCTCCACAGTGTCACAACTCATACTGCCACTGAGCCACCAGCCGCCCCGCAGCCACCAACAGTACGATCAACTATTGGAGCGAATGCGCAGCTATGGTCACTTAGCTGAGCGCGCTCCTGGGATCATTGGCGGGGTCTTTGGTGGTCAAGGCTACGGCGCCGGCATCTTCCGCGCTGACGTGAGTAATGCACCAGCGGCCACGCCAGGTAACATCTGGTCCGACCCAGAAGCTCGGCCAGGAAGCTGGCAGTAACTCACACAATGGGCCCTGGAATCAAGGGCCATCCGCGCCTGCTGCCAGCGCTGCTCCACCAGCCGCATCTGCCCTTTAGGCCCATTCAGGTCAATCCCCAACTCACCCTTTGAGTCGGGTGCTGACACGGACGCCGTCTCATCCGCATGTGCTGCTGACGTTGACTAGGATATCGTTATATTATGCGCCGTTGGAGACGACGAGTAAACAAAAAAAACCTTGTCCGGTAATTTAGGAGCGCAATACGACGGGGATATCATAAAGAAGACAGGGGGCGTGGCAAGGGTGGTAAGCTGACGCGTGGGTTGCATGGGCGAGGAATGACCGCGTGCTTGGCATCTCTTGCTGATCATGGGTTCGAGGGATTATTGAATCGCTTCGCTCATTCCGCTGGCCCATATTGTCTCGCCGTTGTCGTTTGTCGGGGTGTTGTTGTCAATGCGGTGCGGTTGGGCAGCTGCCATTTTTCGGAGGCGGTGGGTGGCGGGTCAGAGGCTTCACGGATATTGGTTGGGCTCTCGTGGTTGGCCGCAGGGGCCTTTGGGAGGCAGTTTGTAAATCCTCTTGGGGGCCGTGTTGGTGCCTCTTGGGGCCTCTTGGGGGCCTCTTGGGGCTTCTTCGGGTGCCTCTTGGAGGCCCCTTTGGGCCTCTTGAGGGCCTCTTGGGGCCTCCTGGGGGCCTCTCGGGGCTGAAGGCTGGACTTTTCGGTTCCTTGTCCCCTTCTTGGGCCCCTCTTGGGGCCGTTTTGGGGCTCTCTTGGGCTGTCTTGGGCGCCTCTTGGGCTGTCTTGGGGCCATCTTAGGCCGTCTTGGGGCCCTCTTGGAGGCTTCGTGGGCCGTCTTGGGGCGGTCTTGGAAGCCTCTTGGACCGTCTTGGAGCGCCGGTAAGCCGAAAAGGCGAGAACGCTAAAAACCCGTCAGCAACTGACGGAAAAACACTCATTTCTGCCTCTGTGGGCCCTCTTTGGAGGTCTCTGGGAGGCCTTTTGGGGAGTCTTGTGAAGGCGCTTTGGGCTGTCTGGAGGCAATCTTCGGCGTCTTGGATCGCTGTTGAATCGTCTCGGACCATGTTGAACTCTCTTGGAGGCCACTTGAAGTGCTCCTGGAGCACTCTTGGGAGCCTGCTGGGGCCTGGCCGGGACCTCCCTGGGACCTGGCCGGGGCCTGGCCGGGACTTGGCCGGGACTTGGCCGGGACTTGCGAGGGTAGTTTTCGTCCAGGGACCCCCAGGGGCGCCCCCGCGCGCGCGAACTAGAAATATCGTTCACCAAGTACCGGAGATCTTAGCACGCCCTTGGCCCCTTGGGCCGGCGAATTTTCCGAAGGATAGGGCAGGGGTCGCCGGCGCACTGCCAGAGAAGGGGATTGACGGACAAGCGAAGCACTACGGACAAACACGGCATGCGGATGACGTGCAACAGCTGCGGCAGTAACAGCCATTTCCGAGCACAGTGCACGAAAGGTGAGGGAGACCGAGATGACTCCGTACTTTCTGGTTCAGATTCTTTCGACGGTGACCTCGAGTGCGTAGGCTTTCCCCAAGCCGATCTCCCCACATCAGTTTTTTATGCCATCAGTCTCATGATGGCTGGCCGGTTTGCAGGGTCTGCGCTGGCCGCCGAGAGGTGCGCCGACTGCCTCTGCGAGGGCTTCTTCGCGGAGCTCGAGGAGGCCGGCAAGCATCCCAGTTGCGACCGATTTGAAAAGAGAATATTCGAATATATGGTCATGGCCAGCTCCAGCGCCCCACCATCGAGCGCAATTCAACGCGATGGTGGTACATTGGAAGCTCTACTACCGATGAGACGGGGGAAACAATCCCGAGAAGGACAAGACTTCTACAGCGGCGACAAACATTTCACTTTTCTCGATGCAGGGGCTACAGACGGCATTGAAATAGATGAAGCAAGGCAAAGCAGCGGACAGCAAGGGTATCGTGGTTGAGATGGTATGTATCTGCTGGAAATTTGGCGATCAGGCAGATTATCCTCATGCTGTAAAACGATATCCTTAGCTTGAAAGCCCCAGCGCCAGCAGAGTGGAAGCGCACTGTGGTCAAAGTCGCATGCAAGAGTGGGAGCGCGAAACTACCGCATAATTACAGGCCCATCACCATCACACCTATACTGTACAACTTGTTTTTCGATGTTTATAACAGGTTGGTGCT